GCACCAAAGTAAATGATGATAGTAATGAATTATAAACCATAGAATAGGACACCATGAGTTCACACTGATATAAATGAACAGTTTGATGAAAATGAAATAGTTACATACTTTCAAAATACCTCACCACTGTTATTAATTATAAAGAGAAAAACTGTATGAGATGCCTAGCAAACAACAATTTAAGCAATGAAAGTGAGTATCTTCTGTAATGAGACAAATAAAAACCAGAGCCTGTAAAGTTCAAAAGTTCTAAGGTCATGGACGTCAAGGACAAATCGAAGAATTGTTCCAGATTTAAGGAGACTAAAGAAATATGACAGCTAAATGCAATGTGTGATTTTGAATTGCCTATAAAGGACATTATTTGGACAATTGGTGAAACCTGAATGTAGTCCAAGGATTAGATTGTAGTTATATGTTAATTCCTGACTTTGATGATGGTATTGGGGATATATAAGAGAATGCCCTTGTTTGCAGGAAATATACAATGAAGTATTAGGATGGTGGAGCATCAAGTTGGTGACTTACTTTGGAACAGTTCAGGAGAAAAAAGTTCTTTGTATTATATTTGAAACATTCATTTAAGTTTGAAATAGTTTCAAAAATTAAACTTAAAAATATTAAAAATCTCATTTCTTGACCCCGCTTCCATCTCTCTCTCCTCTCCTCCTTAGAAAAGTCGTCTATATTTCAATTCTTTCTTTCCCATTTTTCTCTTAACCACCCCAAAGAGCTTTCACTTCCATCAATGCTCTTGCTAAGGTCACCAATGACCTCTGTGTTGCTAAATCCAGAAGACAATTTTCAATTGTTATCTTGCCAGACCACCAGTAGATTTTGACACTGACTAATCTTTCTTGAAATATTTTCTTCACTTACACTCCAGAACCCCACCTTCTTTTGGCACCACCTTTTCAATCTCCTATGCTGTTTCTTCCTCATATCCTCTGACCTCTTAAAAAATGGGAATATCCTAGGGTTTAGGACTCAGACCTTTCCTCTTCTTACTCCCTTGGTTATCTCCTCCAGCCCCAGGTTTTAAATAACATCCATATGCTAATGACTTATTAATTTATATCTCTGGCCCAGGCTTCTTTTCTAAACTCTAGATTTCTATAACCAACCGCTTACTTCACATTTTCCACTGGATGTTGCCCAACAGACATCTCAAATTTAACATGTCCAACACTTAACTCCTCATCTCTTCTCCCCCAAGTCTGCTCTATCCACAGACATCCCCGTATCAGTCACTGGAAACTTCTTCCTACCAATTGCTCCAAAAACCTCGGTGTTATCCTTGACTCCTCTTTTCATCACATCAGTTACATCAGCAAATCTTGTTGACAGTACCCCCACCCTCCAACAGGCACCATCATCTCTCACTGGAGTTAACCAAGAGTCCTTACTGGTTTGCTTCCATTCTTGCCCTCTACTATTTATTCTTATCACTCTCTAATGGCTCCCCATTGCACTCAGAGTGAAAGCCAGAGCCCCTACAGTGAGCTACAAAACTCTACATGATCACTTACTCCTACCAAATTTGCTAAGAATCAAAAGTTTGATAGCACTCAGTGATGTGAAGATAGACCCACTTATACATTGTTGTTGAAGTACAATTTATTAATATCTATAAAAAATTTAAATATACTCATACCCAGCAATTCCACTTATAGAAATCTACCTAAATATGCAGACACATGTTCACTACAGCATTGTTCGTTCATAATGACAAAAAAAACAGCACATCCATACAATGGAAGAGCATGTACAATAATGGAGATTCACGGGCTTTGTAAAGAACCCCAAGATGCATTATTAAGTGTAAAAAGATAAGTATAAGTAAGTATAGAATAATCTTGTTTAATAAAAGGTCAACATGAACAGACAGTGTGCATGTGTATGTGTGTGTGCATTTAAACAATTATTTGGAAGGATTACAATCAACTTGGATAGTTAATATCTGGGAGTGGGCCTAAGAGTCAGAGTATGAAAGAGACTCTTCCTCTTTCTTGTATAACGTTCTATTCAATTTCAGTTATCTTTAACAACAAAACATGAGCTTGCACTTTAATAATGTGTATGTCTTTAAGCTACAAAAAAGGTTATAAAAAATTCTTCACCCTAAGGAGAAATGCTTACCCATATTCAAATTCACACTAAAAATTTTTTTATCTTCTTGAACTAACTCTCACAGGATTACAGGATGGGGGTATATATGTAGAGTTTGCTGCACAGCATGATTAGGTTTTCTTAAAACTTTTTTTGATAAAGAAAATAAAACACACTATATATAGAAAATCTAGAAAAGGGTAAAGAAAATAAAAGCCACTGGCCATCCATAGAAAACCTATTATCATTTTGGGACATTTCCTGCAAAAGGCCAGGTGCCTAGTGAGGTAGAACCTGAAACTTTTTCATAGTCTTTTGATGATGCCTTGATGCTATTTGGGAGGAATAAGGGGGCTTTGGAAGTTTTGGCTTCCTCTGGGGGAAATTCAGAATTAAGGGTCATAAACAACAGTAGGCAAACATTCACCCATTGTTCATGGAGAAAAGTGAGATCATGTTAATCTTATATGCAGATTTTGTAAACTGAAATATGAAGTATCTGTTACAGTGAGGATCAAGTGGTCTTTTAGCCAAACCCTTCCTTGAAGTCTAAGGAGAAATTGGTTCCCAAGGAGTGTCTTTAACCCACCTGTGTGTCCTCCCGCACAGAATTACCTCTGATGGCATACACAGTCTGTGTGGAGGCACACAGTTTTGGGTGTTTACCAGGGACGGTTTACCTGGGCTCCCTAACATGCTGGGGGATTAGGAATGAGAGCTGCCCACCTTGGGACAGTCAGCAGAGTTGACTCAAGGCTCCAGATGTGGCTGATGCTCTGACAGACATTTCCCCAGGCAGCTCACACTGTCACAGGGGCCAGGGTGACACCGGCAATTTGCAAACACTGCAGCACAGAGCCTAGCAGCAGACTGGCCAGACCCTGCTGACAGAAACATGGATGGACCCTTCGGTCTCAGCATGTAAGAGGTGGAGTCCAGAGTCAAACCCACCATGCCAAGTGCCTTTCTGGTAAGGAAAGAGGATAAATATCCTGCAGGCAAACAATTCTGTTTTAACAAGAAAATGAGGTAATATACCAGGTTCAAAGAGAAAAGGGCTTGAAAAACCAAGGAATAAAAAGGAGAAGGATGTAAACTTTTTTTGAGCCTGCCTGTCTAAGAGGCAGAGATTTGCAGCTTGGTAGTATCATATTTGAGCCCCTAAAAGCAGAAGGGTCAGTGGGATAGGAAGTAGAAAATGGAAGTAAGAAAATGGGATTCTGACCCTTAAAGAAAACCAAGACACCTGATTTGACTCCTCTCTAAATCTTGTTTCTTCAGTGATGACATCAACTAATGGAAGCAGGAGGGAGGGAGGCCAGCTTGGGGGATGGATAGGAAGAGCACAGAGCAAAGGAGAGTTGGTTTGGCCACCCCTCCTAATCTTCTTAGATTAGGAAAACCAAGGCCCATAGAAGGGATGCAAATTTCCCCCAAAACCAGAATCAATGGCTAAGACTCTTAGCTTCCTGTCTAATGCTCCTAAACTCTGCCCATTAGGAGTGATCCACAGGCCAAAAAGGGAGGAGGGGATTAAAGTCCTGACAAAAGAAAGCAAAGGTACATACCCGAAAATGAGCCACTGCTAGTAGGCTCCATCACTTCTTGGCCTTGGAAAACCAGTTTCCAAGCCTTGATATCTTCATCTGTGAAAATAGTTGAGGCTTCCTCTAGCAGGGCTGCGGCGGGGGTAGGGGATCAGGAGGCTGGCAGCACAGTGGATGTTTATTTTAATGGGGGAGCCCTTTCACTGCTCCCTGGAGCCCTGGGGACTGGAGACACACTGCTGGAAGGAGCTGGCATAAAGGGGGTGCTGACAGCCTCCCTGCCCCAAGCTTCCTGGGGCTGGTTAGGGCACAGGACAAAGTCCAGCGGTATAACCAAACTGTGAATGGGCCCAGTGTTGTTCCTGTCCAGGCAACCCAACCTCAGCTTAGCATAGGCCTGTTGTGCCAACACAGACTGTGTGTCTACTCCGGCCCTGACCCCAACGATGAACAGTCCCCACCCCTACCTGTGGCACCTCATAGTCTGGAGGTCTCCTGGGCTTGCTCAGCACCCCAGGCTGTATGTCATGGGGTGGCAGCAAGCATAGGCTGTTAAGTGGGGATTCTGGGCAAGTCACTTTATACCACAACCCAGGCACGAAGGAGGTTTTCCTAGGTCTAACTTGTCTGGTTAATGTGAGATGGGCTGGCTGCCACCTGGTTCACCTTCAGCTCATTGCCCAGCTCCATGTCCAAGGGCTGGAGGGCCACAACCACCCCATGTGGAGAGTCTGAAATAATTCGCAGAAGGCTAGACCCTTCCATACAGCCTCTTTCATGCCTGCCTCCCCTGCCAACCCCCATCTGCCCCCCAAAAACACTACTAAAGTGAGAATTTCAGAGCTAGGGGAACTTCTGGTTGAAATTTGAGGTACAAGTAGGGGCAAGGGGATCTGGGGAAAGCCCAAAGTCTGAGGAGAGATAAGAAGTTGGCCACAGTTTAAGGCCCACCAAGTTGTGCTTCGCTTCATGGCAACAGGAATCGGCAGACACTTAACACTGTCTACACTCCAGCCCCTGAAATTTGGTGTTTGCATGTCCCAGCCCACCCAGTACCAACGGGTTTGAGGGCGTGCCCACAGCCACCTCCCCACAGGGCATCCCAGCCTTCCACCCCACCCAAGGAGAATCTCCCAACCCCACGTACCATTCCAGGCTTAAACAGGCCCACTCCCCAACCCCTTAGTTACCTTCTAAGGTGACCCTCTGTCAGGGGTGCTCCCTCATAAGGGCACCTGGGGCAGAGTCTAGGCCTCTAGGGCCATCTCTTCAGTGCCCCTGCAGTTTCCACCCACCTGTCCATCCCCGAGTCCTCCCACAGAACAAGCTGAATCGGGGCATGGATGGGCCTCCATGTTTTATTAGGGATACGGCAGAAGCAGAGGCTGGAAGTGGACAGCCGCATTTTTAACAGATAAATTAACCGCAATGTGGGGATGGCAGGGTGGGGGCTGAGCCAGGCATTTTAATTTTAATATATAAAAAAAACCCAACAACAGAAAGACAAATCGGCCCCAAAACACAGGGCAAAGGAGGGCAGCACCATCAGACAGCAGGGAGGATGGGGGCAGACAGAGAAGGCAGTTTGATCCCTTGCCCCCTCCACCAGCACGGGCTGGCCCCCAGGGGCTCCAGGGCAGGAAGCAGCCACGCTGGGCAGAGATGGCACAGCTGGAGGGCAGGAAGCCCAGCACCACAAAATGGCTCAGCCGGAAGTGGGGGCTGGGACACAGCAGCCTTGAACCCCAGTCCCCAGAGGAAGAGCCTTACTCTGGGTGGGAGAAGGGACCAAGGGTAGGATCTCTCCCTGAGCTGAGAGTGGTTATCTCCACAGCAGAGGTGGGTGGTGGGATGTGCCAGGGACCCCATTCACCTTCTTATCCACCTGCTTCCTTGGTCCCTTCAGGGAGGGGCCCCAGTGTCCCCGAGGGGGTGGGCATGAGGAGAGCTGGTCCAGTCTGTGGTCTCCAACTCCAGAGAGGGGCTGGGGTGTGGCGCAGCCCCTTAGCCCTGACTCCCACAGGAGGAGAGCGAGTCGTAGAGCGAGTCGCTGAGAGACTCTGAGGTCTCTAGCCCAGGGGGGCCCCCACTGGCCACCCTCCCTTCCTCACCCATGTCTGATGTGCTTGGGGTCCGGCTACCCCCAAATGCCGGGCCCTGGGGTGTAGGGGCTGGGTGGCTGGGCTCCAGGCTCCGCTTCTGGTCCTCGGGCAGCACCTGGAAAAGGAGGACAGCTGGAGAGGAGGCTCCTCTCACCTCTTGGCCCAGCCTGAGAGGCACTGGGCTCTGCCCGAGTGGGGGTGCTGCAGATGGGCCCCCCACTTCCCACGCCTGAGGTGAGGTGTGCTTCAGAGGGAGCTGGCTGGAGGCATGCCCGGCAGAGCCCTACCCAGGTTCTGGGAGAGAAGCCCTTTCCCCAGGAAGGCTCCGAGGAGGCAGGTGCGTAGGCTGCCCAAGGCAGCATCCAGGGGGCTGTGCCTTTGATCCCCCTTCGAGACAGGGCTGTCCCTGGCTGGAAAAACATCTTCCCACATCATCCCCTCCTGCCCTCCAGTCCTGTTCCCTTTCCCCTTCAGCTGTGCTCACCACAGGGGTCCTGGGCAGCCCCTCCAATTGTCGGGGTGGGCATAGGAAAGGGTCAGTGGAGCCGCCAGCTGCCCTCGCATTGGGGAAGGTCCAGTTCTTGGCCAGCTGGACAGGAGGGGGAGGGCCTGGGTCTTCGCAGGGATCTGTCCCGGGAACAAGGGAAAGGTGGGTGGTGGTGGGTGGAGCTCCGGGGATGGCCCCCATCTGCCTCCTGGGCACTCACCGTCAGGACAGGTCTGATGGCCTCGGTGGCCTGGAGCAGAAGTGAGCAGTGCGGGGAAGGCTGGCATGCTGGGGTGCCGCCCGCTCACCAGCAGCTCCTCTATGCCTGGCACCTCACGCTCCAGTGTGTGGGCACGACGGGGGACTTTGGTAAGGGGTGGGGGACGAGCTGGGGGCACCCCGGGTGGGGGCTCCAGTCGTGGTGACTTGGTCTTGGGAAGGTTCTTGTTGGGGGTCCCACTGCTGCCGTGGTCTGGGGGTGGGAAGGTCCCAATGCCGCTGTCCAGGGTCCGAGTCAAGGAGCCACAGGCTGGGGAGCAGAGGATGAGTCGGGAGGGTAACTGGCTACAGGTGGCTCAACCTTTCTAATGTCTTAAGGCTTCCTGCCCCAGCCCAGGCTCCACCCCTGGCCAGGGCCCCTCTTGGCCTAACAGGCTGTTGTCCCTGCCCGTCCTCCCCTAGGCTTGGGGAAGGAGGGTGGGCAGGTCAGGTAGCGCTTGAGGACACAGGGGGATTTCTGGGCAGCCCCAGTGCCCACCTGGTGCTTGGCACCAAGATGGCCCTCAGGACCTGGCACTGGAAGCAGTGGGAAGGAATAAAGAGGGCAGGTGAGGGGCAGGTCCCATCCTTGGCTTCTGACCCTGCTGACCTGTGAAGTGGGAGGTGGGCCCTGGTTCGGCCAGGTTGTCCTCCGAGGGCATCTCTCCCCGCCTTCCTGGCTCACTGCTCAGCTGGGTGGGGTACAGGAGACCTCAGAGCCTGCCCCTCCCCAACTCCAAACTCCTCCCCAAGCTCTCCCCTGGACCATGGGTCTGAGTAGCTGAGGCCTGCTAGCCCTGAAGAGGCCTACTCCCCTTCCCAGTACCCCTCAAAGACCATGACTGCCTCCAGCAGCTTCCAGCCCCAGGGAAGGGGACCCCACCAGTGCTAAGACCTGGCAGGAGCACAGAGCCAGGGCCTCTACACAGCCCCTACCCCAAAACCTACCTTCCCAGGTTTTCCACAGCCCTGAAGAGGGCCTACCAGACCATTTCGGGGCCCACAGGCTGGCCAGGGGCTCTTGGGGTCAGAGGACACTGGCTGGAAATCACCATACTCAGGTTTGGGCTCCCGCCAGCTCTTGGGCGGCACTTCCTTGCCATCCACCCTAGGGGCAGCAGGGCAGACAGAGGTGAGGAAGGCCTGAGTCTCCCCAGACATTCTGGCCTCACTCCCTGCAATGGTGCTGGGCTACTGAGGTACCCACTGCCCCCTGCCCCTGGGAAGGGGACATATCCTTGGCACTGCTCCCACCAACCCTTCCTGACACTGGCAACAGGCAGAGAGCTTAGGGTAAACCCCAGAGGTACAGCAAAGGCAGAGGAGACGGGAAAGTTCCCAAAGCTACCCAGGGTAAAGGCTAGAGTCCTCCTCGCAGTGTTTGCAGGTAGATGGCAGACCCGGCCTCAGTCAGGTCCACACATGACTCGCTCTGCCTCTCAGCTGAACTTGAGTGCACTTGCTGTCCAAGCCATACCTTACTGGGGCTCAATCCTTAGGGACATTCTGCTTTATCTGACCCAGATGGAGCAACCCCAAAGATGGGGTGGCCCCTTCTCTAAACCACAGCTCCCATGGTCGAGTCTGTGGCAGGAGTCAAAGTGCAAGAAGGGAACTTTCCTTGTTCAGAGGACATAAAATTCCCAAGGCAGACCTTCATCAGTCCATGGTTAGGCACTAGCATTTCCTTGACTACTGAACACAGGCTCGCACACAGGCTGCCTCTCTGACGCTGGAGACAATCCAGGAAAAAGTGGACTGTTAACTCTTCTCAAATGAGAAATTGGGTCTCAGCAAGTTTGATAATCAGACAGCCAGAGCGGAGGGGTGCTGGGTACAAACCCCCAGGCTTCTGGTTTGGAATCCCTGACCTTTGTGTCAGGCCACTAAGCCCAGATGCTTTGGTATTTTATTTGACTTCCTACCCCTTTTGCCATCTGAGAAGCCCAAGCTCCCAGAAAAGGCAGTCGTGCCCCAAAGCCAGGTGGACCCATGGAGAGAAGGGCGTCCCCAGCCACCAAGCACTGCTGCCTGGTCCCGCCCCTCACCTGTTGAGCAGCTGCTGCATGAAGGTATCTGCGCCCTGGTACATGCCGACCAGCGGGCCCTGCACCTGCCCCAGCCCTGCACTGGGCCCTGGCCCTGGGGGCCCGGGCCGTGGCCGCGCCCTGCTGCTCAGGTAGGCCTTCTCCTCCTCCAGGGCCCGGCGCAGATCTTCTGCCTTAGCCATCAGCTTGGAGATGTTGAGGCTCTCAGCCTCCAGCTTCCGGGCTTCCACCTTGCCCTCCTTCCGGAGGGGAGAGCCCCCACTGACCCCTTCCTTGCTCTTGGCGGCCTCTGTGCGGCGGTTCAGCGCCGGCAGCTTGCTCTTCCTCAGCCCGAACCAGCTGGCTATGCTGCTGGTGTTGCGGTGCCTGGCCTCAGTGTTGGGCGCCCGCTCCTGGCCCTGGAGCCGCAGAACGTTTTCCTCGATGCCCTTCATCACCTTCTCCTCGATGGCCGAGTGTGGGGCCCGCCCCTCGGGACCACGGCCGGGGTCCTCAGGGCCAGGCGCTGGGGGTGTGGGCTGGGCTGCGGTGCTGCCACAGTCTGCCCAAGGCGGACCTTTCCCCTTGTCAGGCTTGGGGAGCTCCTTGGTGGCTGGTGGGGCCACAGGTCGGGGCACCACCTTGGTGGGTGACTTGGAAGGTAGCTTTGTAGGGCTTCCATGGGGGCTCTTATTAGGCTTGCTGAGGCTGGGGGCTGAGGTTGGCACTTTGGCAGGGGTTCGGGGTACCTGGGGGCACAGGGCCCCTGCCAGCCGGCTCTTGGCCAGCTCTACTTTGGTGAGGCAGCTCCTTGGTGAGACAGGCTCCAGGTCCACCCGGGCCCCCATGGAGTGGGAGGAATAGACTCGGGTTCCAGGGTCCCCTAGGAGCCCTGATTCCTGCTGTTTCAGGCTGCTTGTGCCTAAGGCTACTGCCCCACGAAGAGACCCCTTGGCTTCAGGCTGCTCGGGGGGTCTGGGGGGAGGAGGCGCCATGTCTCCAGTGCTCTCCCCTGACCTCCCTGCTCCCCGGGCCTTCTCCGGGCCAGGTCTGGCTGGCACCCCATTCTTCTCTGGCCCCTCAGGGCCAGTCTTCAGTTTGCCCAGGGCTGCCAGCCTGTCTCGCAGAGGGGTGAACCCAGGATCCCCAGGTCGCCTCCCTGCCCCCTGGCCAGGCTTCTTGGATGAGCCTGGGGTCCTGCGGCCAGGATGGGGAGACTCGGAGCCTGCCTTGTCCAAACTCTTCTCCTGGGAGATCCCATAGGGGCAAGATTCTGAGAGACAAAGACTGAGGGGAACTCCAGGGCTTCTGAGGCCCTCAGAGGCCTGTGGCACCTCCAGAGTTAACTGTGGGTAGGTGGGCACCTGCAGTGTGGATGGAGGTGGCTCTGGAGAAGGCCCCCTAAAGGTGCTCCGGGAAAGGTCCAGGATATTCTCACAGCAGGGAGATACCACAGGTCCTGGGGACAGTGTGGTGGACAAGGCTGGCTGGGGAGGTCTGAGCTGTGCAGAGTCCGGGGTTGTGGAACAGGGTGAAGGGCTGGTGGGTAAGCCCTGTGCCCCCTCCGGGGATAACTCTCCTCCACCCAGACCCTTGCGGGCCAGCAACGGGGAGGGGCTGCCATCTGAGCCACTGTTCCGACAGGGGATTCGGGAATTCCGGGGGAGCTGGGGGCTAAGCTGGGGGCCTCCTGGGCTAGGGACCTTCTCTGAGGCTGGAGGCAGCTTCAGAAATTTGAGACCTCTGGCAGGACAGGACAGAAGGGGTCCCTGGCTTTCCCCAGGAGAAGGCGGGCCAATTTGGAGCTTGCTTTTCACCTGAGATGAGGAGTAAGAGTGGCCAGGCCGCGAGCCCAGGGGGGCATCCCCCGCACCTATGAACATGCTGAGGAAGGAGAGGGGCCCTTGGCCCTCTGAGGTAGCACCAAAGCCTGGCCTGGGGGCCTCTGGGGTATTCCCATCCCAAGCTGACTTGGGGAGGCCTTTGGACTTGGACAGCTGTGGGGGCCCCTGGTCTGAGGTGGATGGCTGCCCAGGATCTGGGTGGTCCCCATTGAGTGGGCCTGCAGCCCTGGCCAAAAAGGCCTGTAGGTAAGACTCAGTGTCCTCAAGGAGCTGGCCCAGGTTCAACTGTTTGTGGGCCAGAGCCCCGAGCAGGGTGTCGGGGCTGGGTGCCTCGTTAGGGTCACCTGCCTCATCAGAAGAGGAGGAGGAGCTGCTGCCTGGGGCACAGGGTGGCCCCACTCCACTGCCCTGGGCCTGTGGGGAGCCCTTACTAGGACCCCAGGGCCGCCCAGCACCCTCTTCCTCCCCCAGGCCCCCTAAGAGGTGCTCCCAGTGTAGCAGGCCTCCCAGGCTGCCAGGGCCTAATAGCAGGTAGGGGGCCCAGGTTGAGGGTTCGGGCTGTGGTGGGCCACACAGCTCGCCATTGATAGGCTCTGGGGAGCCAGGATCCTCGCCTGGAGGCCGCCAGGGGGTGGCAGGCGAGCACAAAAGCAAGGGGTCAGTTTCTTCCAGGGCTCTCAGCACCTCCAGGATCTGGGCTTTCTTTTGAAGGAAAGGGGATAGGGCATCCAGTGCAGGGGGCAGGGCAGCCGGGGGTCCTGGGCCTCCTGGTCGCAGCTGCTGCTCCCAACATACCTTGGGGAAGAAATGGCATGAGAAGACCAAGTACAGGCCTAGGACCTGAGCTGGGCATAACTGAGCATGTCAGGAACAAAGCTGGCCTGGTTTTGTTGTATCCCCAAAAGGAATTGACAGCTTCTGGGATGTTATAGCTCAGCTTCCTCAAGAATCACTGAGCCCTGGTTACCTCAACTCTTCTTCCTGAGACACCTGGGGTTGGATGGGCGCCCCACTTCCCCCAGCCACACCACACCCCCGCCACTACCCACTGCTGTTTGAGTCAGCAGGGCTGGCCACCTACAGCCCTGACACCTATGTTTGCTCCAGGGGAAGGAGGCGTGTCCATTTTTCAGGCTCCAGAAAGAACACAGAGACTCAAGAAAGGGATGGGATGTGGTCAAGGACCATGGGATGTGGGTCCTAAGTCAGGCACTGCAGGCAAGCACAGGCCTTCTCAGGTCAGCCAGCCATCCTGCCAGCCTGGTCCTCATGGAGAACGCGACTGGGAACGACTACATGGCAAGCTGTTCTGCCTGGCTCCTTCTTGGGCCCAGTTCAGACTGGTATAGTGGTTAACTGTGTGGGCTCTGGAGCTAGAAAGTGTAGGTTCAAGTCCCAGATCTACCACTTAAACCAGTTATATGAATTTCAACAAGCGATTTAACCTTTAAGCTTCATTGTATCATCTGTAAAATGGGATTGCAATTAGGTTTAGCTTATAAAATAAATGCAGAGGAATGAATGAATAATAGTTCTGGACTTGGAAAAATAAATATGTATGTAATCATCAATTTATGCCAAAAACTACAAAAAAACAAAATAAAACTAAACAGAATGAGATCCAGGTGTTCAGTGCAGTGCCTGGCCACAGTAAGAGTGTGGCAAACATTAATTTTTGAGTCTTTACTGCAGTACTAATGCCTTTGCTCACAAGGCCAGAGGTTGGGGGTGGGGATGTGTTTCTTGGTATGAGGCTGACAGCTGAGGGCTCACCCTCAGCTTGGACAAGAATTCGTGCACTGGGAAGCAGACCTTCCCTGGGGTCTCATTAGGAAATAGCAATGGAGTAGTGACCAAGGAGGCCATAACCAGCAAAGCCACAGACCATCCTGCCCAGTCCTCCTACCTCTCTCTGCCCCACACAGCGCCCTAGAGGCAACAAGATGGCTGGTCCTTCAGCGGAGCTCAAGGATGGGGAGGCTGGTGGCTCTGATGGTGGCTGGAGAGGAGTGAGTGGGATCTGCAGGGAGAGGCAAGGTTAGCACAGGGATGTCCGTCCCAGGTCCTGACTCCCCCATGAAGGGGCAGGAAAACATTCTCTCAAGTCGCTCTTCAGGGACATCTCCTGGCCCAAGACATGGGTGGCTTTCACCACTGTCTCCACCACTTTCAGACAAGCCTCAAGTGTCGCTGGAACAGAGGCTGAAGAAGTGCAAACCTGGGTGGCAGGGCAGTAGGACAGTCAGGGGGCTTTGGAGGAAGGAGAGCCCCTTGGCCAGAGGGCAGTGATTAGAGCCTAATCTAAGTGCCTATTCAGGGCTCCAGGATTGCTCTGTCTTCTATGGGATCTCCTTGCCGATCACAGAGAGGTGAGCCTCAGGTCCCTTCCTGGTCTCACTGCCTGTGACCCCAGCGTCACAGGGATGACTGAGACTAATGGAAGAGGCATTTGTTACTGGGTCCCAGGACAGAGAAGGCAGGAGTTACACCTTCTCGCTTCCCTAACTGCTCCCAGGTGAAACTTTTTCTCTGAGGGTTACAAAGGTAATCTTTAATCACAGGTCACTTCTCTTAGTCCCTGTGAATGTCATTTCCTTCCCCTAGGCATCTCAGCTAGATATGGGTCCACCTCAACTCCTCCCTGTCTCTCATTTGCCACAGCTTTTAAAGCCTGTCTCTGGGGGTCTCTCTGCCTCGCCTCTGGCCTGGACATCTGTAGCCCTCCTTCAGCCCAGATCTTCTGGCCTGGGTGCTGCTCAGCACTTCAGTCTCCCTGACCTGGTTTGGTGGCTTTTCAAGCTTCTGTGCTCAAGGCAGCCTAAAACATCTTTTTCTTGCAGCCTAAAACATCTTTTTCTTTTTCTTCTAAAGCATCTTTGTGCTCAAAGCCTCCTGTGCCTGCCCAGTGCCTAAGGACACAGGTCTGAACTCCTCTGCCAGCATTCTGGGCTAGCCTGCTGGTTCCGCCCTAATGCCATCTCCATCTCTGTTGCCCTCACAGCTCCTTTACACATCCTTTGTCCAGCCCAGATGAACAGTGAGCTGCTCCCTAGGCTTCCCTGCTCTGCTTCCCTTCTTCTCAACCCCTACTCCACTCTTTTTGTTTCTATCCATCAAGACCCAGCTTAAGGGAACAGTCCTTGGCCCGTCTCTGATGGCCTCTCTCCCCTCTGGGTCCTTGGACAGCACTGTTACACTCTGCTTTGCACAATTGGCTCTCAGTAACCTGCAGTCTCAGTTCCCAGCAGTCACAGCCTGCAGGGGTTAAGTTTGCTCTGCACAGGCCACAGACACATCCAATTCCATATGTGTTGGCAAAGGCACTCACCCTAAGAGCTTAATTAGCATTTGCTCAATGGAGCTCTCATCCTAGCAAAGCACAACTTGGGAATAACATTAATAATGATAAATAGCTGCCAATTACTGACTATCTACTATGGGGCAAGCACTATATATTACCTCATTTAATCCTCACAGCAACCTGTAATTTAGATATTTTAATCCTCATTTATAAGGCAAAATTGTGGTTCGTAAGGCTGAGTAATTTGCACATGGTCACACAAGAATTTGTTAATTTAGGGACCCAACCCAAATATATCTGAGGCCAGGGTTCATGCTCTTTCCATTACATTATGTCACCTCTGGAGAAGATAAATCTATTGCCCCCAAACCCAAAAGGTCCCAGAATTCATTAAGGATTCATTCAAAAAAATCAACGATCTAAGGATGATCTACACCACTGTCCTCTGTTATCACCAGTCACTGAGAAGGGTGGATGGGGTGAGCTCAGCCAGTGTGGGAAGGCCCCTTGGGGGGCTCCAGGGAGCTGAGGATGGGGGCTCCAGGGAGCTGAGGGACATCCTGCTTAGGTCTGGGGGCCGAGGGCTGCCTAGATTGCATTGGAAAGACACACAAATTCAGACACACATACACATACGCACACAAGGTGTTTCTCTTCTTGTCAAGGTCATGGTGGACTGGGGTGTGCTGGCTGACCTCAGAACTCACTGGTGATTCCAGATACCTTGGAGCTGCTCCTGATTCTCCCCCAGCCATCTCATTCCATCTTGGGGGCTTCCTGACACAGTGACCCCAAGTGACATCTTAACTGAACCTGGATTTACTCCCAGTAGCCTCCTGCTTCTCCCAGGTATAGGTGACAGGGCTAGTGTCTGAGGACATGTCAGCGGGTGAGCATCTACATGTCAGTGGTTGAGCATCTGTGGCACAGTTATCTGGGTAAAGTGCCTTTTCTGACCACTCTGTGATGCCAAACACTGGGTGCCTTACCCCCAGCCCCACCCCTGCCCCCAGCAAGAAGAGGCAATGTGGTGGCCAAAGGTGCCCTTGGGTGCTTGAAATAATTGCATTTTCAACCTCCGCCCACCTCCCCACACACAGCAGGAGCAAGCAAGAACCTTCTCTGTCAACAGGAAGGGATGCCATCCAGCTGTGTGGGGAGCACCTGGGAGGTGAGGACAGCCAAGCTTGAGGGATCTCAGAGAGCCTCCCCTATCTAAGGCTCAGATCTATCAGGCTAGGTGGGCCTTCCCTGGATGGCCATTGACCCTAGAGCAGAGGTGCATGGCTGGTGACCTGCTTCTGCAGGTGTCTGGGAGAAAAGAGGGTGAGGATGATGAGAGGCCAGGTCAGGCAAGCGGGAAACTGAGGTAAGAGGGAAGGAGAATGGCTTGTGCCCACCTGCGGGAAGGAGCCTGTCGTGAGCTGAAGCTTCTGCTGAAACAGGGCGCTCAGCACCTGGTTCTGCCGTTCTAGGTCAAACACCCTCTTCTTCAGTTTGATGCACTCCTCCCGCAGGTCCTGGTGCCGCCCAGGAGAAGGAGCAGGAAGATGGGAGAGGATGACGGAGAGAGGGAGTGGATGAGCACAGTCCCCTTCATCCCAGCAGCGCCACTCCTGCCGGGCATGCCCTTCGCCTGCGACCTCCTTCTACACCTGCAACCTCCTTCTACGAGGGAGCTGAGCCTGCCTCTGTTTGTGGCTATCGCATCTTCTGGGGACGATAAATTCTCTAAGTTTACCACCCCTGGTGGGAGGTAAATCCCATTACCTCTGGCACCTTTCCCATCCCTGGAGCCAAACCCCTGCTTCTCAGAAACCACACATCAAAGAAGGGCCCATATCAGGCAGAAGAAGACCTCGGGGGTCAGAATGGCCCAAATGTCAAGAAATTACCCACAGTACTTGAGTGAATATTTAGATGCCACCTTATGCCCACAACACCAACATTGCTATCAGGGCCATCACAACCTGGAGAAACCAGGTAAGGCCAGTGTAAGGGAGGAATTCAAGCTAAAATCAAAGTTACCATAGCTCAGAGACCTGGCCCAACCCAGCCCACTCCTGCCTCCAGGTAGGACAGTACAGAGGAGGAGGAGAGAGGGGGCTTCTTTGGAGGGCCAATAGGCCATTTCCACTAAGCCTCCTCCTCTAGCCTACACCTGAGCAGGCTCAGGGGGCTCCCAGAAAAGACCTCCCTTTCTGTACCCAGGGCCTCTTCCCAGGGCTTCTGGGCTTTGGGGTGAGAATGTCTCCCGTGGCCACTTACCTTTTGATTTAACAGTGCCTGTACCACATGGTTGGCAACCTGGGGACAGAAATGCCCAAGGCAGAGCTGTTAGCTGACTCAGCCTCTGCCTGGAGCAGACAAACCCTACTCCTCCACCGTCCTCAAAATCAGTCCCGCTGCAGACCCCACGGACCTCATCCAGACAGCGCTCATAGGTCTCCCGCTGGTTTTCATTGGCCTGGGCAAGTGCAGAGTTCTCTGCCTGCAGGAGGGAGGGAGAAGGCAGAAAGGAGGCTGTGGGCTCATTCCTCTCCCAGGGAAAATTCCTTCTGGGGAAGGAGAAGCAAGGAGCCTACTAGCTATACCCCTGCCCCAGCTCTTGGCTCTAGTCAGCCTCTGCCACGGGGAGGCCTGCAGAGATGGACTGAGGGCATCAAGCTCCACTGAGATGCTGTTTCTCTGAAATCCCAAACTTGGCCACAGAGGTTGGAGGTGCTGGGGAGACCCAGCGGCCAGGAGGACCTAAGGTGGGAGGTGCCCAAAGTCAACTTCCTGGGGGAGAGGGCGGAGAAGGCTGGAGGGAGGAGAGTCGGGTTTTGAGAATGCAGTGAAGGTCCTCATTTAAGGACCCATGTCCTGTTCCTCGACTCCTGAGTCCCAGATCATCCAACTCTTCTTCCTGTGGCCTCTGTGACCACCCCTTTCCCAACCTGCAGGGGCATGAAAGTTGGGGAGGGGATAAAGAAGGGAGACATTTGGGGGGAGGACAGCCCCACTCCTCTGCATGCCCTTTGTCCCAAATGGCACCTGGGCTAGACAGCAAAGCACAGGGGAAGGGCTTCTCAGAGCTCTGCTAAAGAAATGCTCAGCTCTGCTCCAGCCTGGCAAGCTGGCTGAGAGAAAGGTCTACCCACACCCAAAAAACCCACACCAGATCCCTAGGCTAGCACACCACCCCTACCCTGCCCCATGCCCCACCTCCAGCTCCCGCAGTCGGTGCAGGAGTTCCTGGCAGGTGCCCAGCTCCATGCTGCCATCACCATCCTCTCCTGGCCTCAGGTTTTCAGGACTCCCGGCTGGCTGGTCCATGGCCTCTGACATCAGGCCCTGGGAACAAGTGGAGAAGCCCTGACAGGCTACTCCAGGGCACAGGGAACAGGTGAGTGGGGGAGGAGGACAGATACAACTGGTCAGAATTCTTGGAGTTTAGATCAGTGTGACCACTGTGCCAAGGACACTCTAACAATTCAGGGCCAGGCTGAGACTCCCCTGGTCAAGGGACAGACCTGCAGATACACTTTTCCCATCTTAAGAACAAAGACCATTATTTTATAAACCCCTATAATTGCAATCACCCCATCAAAGGTCACAGACACTGGCCAGGAGCTGAGAAACCTGAATTCTCTGCTGAGATTGGCTTCAAACTGGCACACATCCTCTTAAATATAGTACAAGGCTCCCTGCTTTCCATAAGGTCCCAGCAGACCAGTATCTTTGTGCATACTAGTCCCTCTGTGGGAGCCTCTTGAAACCCCTCCTTCCCACTGCCAAGCTTGTCACTTGGCCACCTCCTTCTTATTCATTCTCCAGGACTCCCCCTCTAAGTCTAGGTCAGGGGCCACTGCTGCACAGTTCTGTAACTGTCAACTAACTCCACGAGGGCAGGGACATNGACTGAGGGGAACTCCAGGGCTTCTGAGGCCCTCAGAGGCCTGTGGCACCTCCAGAGTTAACTGTGGGTAGGTGGGCACCTGCAGTGTGGATGGAGGTGGCTCTGGAGAAGGCCCCCTAAAGGTGCTCCGGGAAAGGTCCAGGATATTCTCACAGCAGGGAGATACCACAGGTCCTGGGGACAGTGTGGTGGACAAGGCTGGCTGGGGAGGTCTGAGCTGTGCAGAGTCCGGGGTTGTGGAACAGGGTGAAGGGCTGGTGGGTAAGCCCTGTGCCCCCTCCGGGGATAACTCTCCTCCACCCAGACCCTTGCGGGCCAGCAACGGGGAGGGGCTGCCATCTGAGCCACTGTTCCGACAGGGGATTCGGGAATTCCGGGGGAGCTGGGGGCTAAGCTGGGGGCCTCCTGGGCTAGGGACCTTCTCTGAGGCTGGAGGCAGCTTCAGAAATTTGAGACCTCTGGCAGGACAGGGCAGAAGGGGTCCCTGGCTTTCCCCAGGAGAAGGCGGGCCAATTTGGAGCTTGCTTTTCACCTGAGATGAGGAGTAAGAGTGGCCAGGCCGCGAGCCCAGGGGGGCATCCCCCGCACCTATGAACATGCTGAGGAAGGAGAGGGGCCCTTGGCCCTCTGAGGTAGCACCAAAGCCTGGCCTGGGGGCCTCTGGGGTATTCCCATCCCAAGCTGACTTGGGGAGGCCTTTGGACTTGGACAGCTGTGGGGGCCCCTGGTCTGAGGTGGATGGCTGCCCAGGATCTGGGTGGTCCCCATTGAGTGGGCCTGCAGCCCTGGCCAAAAAGGCCTGTAGGTAAGACTCAGTGTCCTCAAGGAGCTGGCCCAGGTTCAACTGTTTGTGGGCCAGAGCCCCGAGCAGGGTGTCGGGGCTGGGTGCCTCGTTAGGGTCACCTGCCTCATCAGAAGAGGAGGAGGAGCTGCTGCCTGGGGCACAGGGTGGCCCCACTCCACTGCCCTGGGCCTGTGGGGAGCCCTTACTAGGACCCCAGGGCCGCCCAGCACCCTCTTCCTCCCCCAGGCCCCCTAAGAGGTGCTCCCAGTGTAGCAGGCCTCCCAGGCTGCCAGGGCCTAATAGCAGGTAGGGGGCCCAGGTTGAGGGTTCGGGCTGTGGTGGGCCACACAGCTCGCCATTGATAGGCTCTGGGGAGCCAGGATCCTCGCCTGGAGGCCGCCAGGGGGTGGCAGGCGAGCACAAAAGCAAGGGGTCAGTTTCTTCCAGGGCTCTCAGCACCTCCAGGATCTGGGCTTTCTTTTGAAGGAAAGGGGATAGGGCATCCAGTGCAGGGGGCAGGGCAGCCGGGGGTCCTGGGCCTCCTGGTCGCAGCTGCTGCTCCCAACATACCTTGGGGAAGAAATGGCATGAGAAGACCAAGTACAGGCCTAGGACCTGAGCTGGGCATAACTGAGCATGTCAGGAACAAAGCTGGCCTGGTTTTGTTGTATCCCCAAAAGGAATTGACAGCTTCTGGGATGTTATAGCTCAGCTTCCTCAAGAATCACTGAGCCCTGGTTACCTCAACTCTTCTTCCTGAGACACCTGGGGTTGGATGGGCGCCCCACTTCCCCCAGCCACACCACACCCCCGCCACTACCCACTGCTGTTTGAGTCAGCAGGGCTGGCCACCTACAGCCCTGACACCTATGTTTGCTCCAGGGGAAGGAGGCGTGTCCATTTTTCAGGCTCCAGAAAGAACACAGAGACTCAAGAAAGGGATGGGATGTGGTCAAGGACCATGGGATGTGGGTCCTAAGTCAGGCACTGCAGGCAAGCACAGGCCTTCTCAGGTCAGCCAGCCATCCTGCCAGCCTGGTCCTCATGGAGAACGCGACTGGGAACGACTACATGGCAAGCTGTTCTGCCTGGCTCCTTCTTGGGCCCAGTTCAGACTGGTATAGTGGTTAACTGTGTGGGCTCTGGAGCTAGAAAGTGTAGGTTCAAGTCCCAGATCTACCACTTAAACCAGTTATATGAATTTCAACAAGCGATTTAACCTTTAAGCTTCATTGTATCATCTGTAAAATGGGATTGCAATTAGGTTTAGCTTATAAAATAAATGCAGAGGAATGAATGAATAATAGTTCTGGACTTGGAAAAATAAATATGTATGTAATCATCAATTTATGCCAAAAACTACAAAAAAACAAAATAAAACTAAACAGAATGAGATCCAGGTGTTCAGTGCAGTGCCTGGCCACAGTAAGAGTGTGGCAAACATTAATTTTTGAGTCTTTACTGCAGTACTAATGCCTTTGCTCACAAGGCCAGAGGTTGGGGGTGGGGATGTGTTTCTTGGTATGAGGCTGACAGCTGAGGGCTCACCCTCAGCTTGGACAAGAATTCGTGCACTGGGAAGCAGACCTTCCCTGGGGTCTCATTAGGAAATAGCAATGGAGTAGTGACCAAGGAGGCCATAACCAGCAAAGCCACAGACCATCCTGCCCAGTCCTCCTACCTCTCTCTGCCCCACACAGCGCCCTAGAGGCAACAAGATGGCTGGTCCTTCAGCGGAGCTCAAGGATGGGGAGGCTGGTGGCTCTGATGGTGGCTGGAGAGGAGTGAGTGGGATCTGCAGGGAGAGGCAAGGTTAGCACAGGGATGTCCGTCCCAGGTCCTGACTCCCCCATGAAGGGGCAGGAAAACATTCTCTCAAGTCGCTCTTCAGGGACATCTCCTGGCCCAAGACATGGGTGGCTTTCACCACTGTCTCCACCACTTTCAGACAAGCCTCAGGTGTCGCTGGAACAGAGGCTGAAGAAGTGCAAACCTGGGTGGCAGGGCAGTAGGACAGTCAGGGGGCTTTGGAGGAAGGAGAGCCCCTTGGCCAGAGGGCAGTGATTAGAGCCTAATCTAAGTGCCTATTCAGGGCTCCAGGATTGCTCTGTCTTCTATGGGATCTCCTTGCCGATCACAGAGAGGTGAGCCTCAGGTCCCTTCCTGGTCTCACTGCCTGTGACCCCAGCGTCACAGGGATGACTGAGACTAATGGAAGAGGCATTTGTTACTGGGTCCCAGGACAGAGAAGGCAGGAGTTACACCTTCTCGCTTCCCTAACTGCTCCCAGGTGAAACTTTTTCTCTGAGGGTTACAAAGGTAATCTTTAATCACAGGTCACTTCTCTTAGTCCCTGTGAATGTCATTTCCTTCCCCTAGGCATCTCAGCTAGATATGGGTCCACCTCAACTCCTCCCTGTCTCTCATTTGCCACAGCTTTTAAAGCCTGTCTCTGGGGGTCTCTCTGCCTCGCCTCTGGCCTGGACATCTGTAGCCCTCCTTCAGCCCAGATCTTCTGGCCTGGGTGCTGCTCAGCACTTCAGTCTCCCTGACCTGGTTTGGTGGCTTTTCAAGCTTCTGTGCTCAAGGCAGCCTAAAACATCTTTTTCTTGCAGCCTAAAACATCTTTTTCTTTTTCTTCTAAAGCATCTTTGTGCTCAAAGCCTCCTGTGCCTGCCCAGTGCCTAAGGACACAGGTCTGAACTCCTCTGCCAGCATTCTGGGCTAGCCTGCTGGTTCCGCCCTAATGCCATCTCCATCTCTGTTGCCCTCACAGCTCCTTTACACATCCTTTGTCCAGCCCAGATGAACAGTGAGCTGCTCCCTAGGCTTCCCTGCTCTGCTTCCCTTCTTCTCAACCCCTACTCCACTCTTTTTGTTTCTATCCATCAAGACCCAGCTTAAGGGAACAGTCCTTGGCCCGTCTCTGATGGCCTCTCTCCCCTCTGGGTCCTTGGACAGCACTGTTACACTCTGCTTTGCACAATTGGCTCTCAGTAACCTGCAGTCTCAGTTCCCAGCAGTCACAGCCTGCAGGGGTTAAGTTTGCTCTGCACAGGCCACAGACACATCCAATTCCATATGTGTTGGCAAAGGCACTCACCCTAAGAGCTTAATTAGCATTTGCTCAATGGAGCTCTCATCCTAGCAAAGCACAACTTGGGAATAACATTAATAATGATAAATAGCTGCCAATTACTGACTATCTACTATGGGGCAAGCACTATATATTACCTCATTTAATCCTCACAGCAACCTGTAATTTAGATATTTTAATCCTCATTTATAAGGCAAAATTGTGGTTCGTAAGGCTGAGTAATTTGCACATGGTCACACAAGAATTTGTTAATTTAGGGACCCAACCCAAATATATCTGAGGCCAGGGTTCATGCTCTTTCCATTACATTATGTCACCTCTGGAGAAGATAAATCTATTGCCCCCAAACCCAAAAGGTCCCAGAATTCATTAAGGATTCATTCAAAAAAATCAACGATCTAAGGATGATCTACACCACTGTCCTCTGTTATCACCAGTCACTGAGAAGGGTGGATGGGGTGAGCTCAGCCAGTGTGGGAAGGCCCCTTGGGGGGCTCCAGGGAGCTGAGGATGGGGGCTCCAGGGAGCTGAGGGACATCCTGCTTAGGTCTGGGGGCCGAGGGCTGCCTAGATTGCATTGGAAAGACACACAAATTCAGACACACATACACATACGCACACAAGGTGTTTCTCTTCTTGTCAAGGTCATGGTGGACTGGGGTGTGCTGGCTGACCTCAGAACTCACTGGTGATTCCAGATACCTTGGAGCTGCTCCTGATTCTCCCCCAGCCATCTCATTCCATCTTGGGGGCTTCCTGACACAGTGACCCCAAGTGACATCTTAACTGAACCTGGATTTACTCCCAGTAGCCTCCTGCTTCTCCCAGGTATAGGTGACAGGGCTAGTGTCTGAGGACATGTCAGCGGGTGAGCATCTACATGTCAGTGGTTGAGCATCTGTGGCACAGTTATCTGGGTAAAGTGCCTTTTCTGACCACTCTGTGATGCCAAACACTGGGTGCCTTACCCCCAGCCCCACCCCTGCCCCCAGCAAGAAGAGGCAATGTGGTGGCCAAAGGTGCCCTTGGGTGCTTGAAATAATTGCATTTTCAACCTCCGCCCACCTCCCCACACACAGCAGGAGCAAGCAAGAACCTTCTCTGTCAACAGGAAGGGATGCCATCCAGCTGTGTGGGGAGCACCTGGGAGGTGAGGACAGCCAAGCTTGAGGGATCTCAGAGAGCCTCCCCTATCTAAGGCTCAGATCTATCAGGCTAGGTGGGCCTTCCCTGGATGGCCATTGACCCTAGAGCAGAGGTGCATGGCTGGTGACCTGCTTCTGCAGGTGTCTGGGAGAAAAGAGGGTGAGGATGATGAGAGGCCAGGTCAGGCAAGCGGGAAACTGAGGTAAGAGGGAAGGAGAATGGCTTGTGCCCACCTGCGGGAAGGAGCCTGTCGTGAGCTGAAGCTTCTGCTGAAACAGGGCGCTCAGCACCTGGTTCTGCCGTTCTAGGTCAAACACCCTCTTCTTCAGTTTGATGCACTCCTCCCGCAGGTCCTGGTGCCGCCCAGGAGAAGGAGCAGGAAGATGGGAGAGGATGACGGAGAGAGGGAGTGGATGAGCACAGTCCCCTTCATCCCAGCAGCGCCACTCCTGCCGGGCATGCCCTTCGCCTGCGACCTCCTTCTACACCTGCAACCTCCTTCTACGAGGGAGCTGAGCCTGCCTCTGTTTGTGGCTATCGCATCTTCTGGGGACGATAAATTCTCTAAGTTTACCACCCCTGGTGGGAGGTAAATCCCATTACCTCTGGCACCTTTCCCATCCCTGGAGCCAAACCCCTGCTTCTCAGAAACCACACATCAAAGAAGGGCCCATATCAGGCAGAAGAAGACCTCGGGGGTCAGAATGGCCCAAATGTCAAGAAATTACCCACAGTACTTGAGTGAATATTTAGATGCCACCTTATGCCCACAACACCAACATTGCTATCAGGGCCATCACAACCTGGAGAAACCAGGTAAGGCCAGTGTAAGGGAGGAATTCAAGCTAAAATCAAAGTTACCATAGCTCAGAGACCTGGCCCAACCCAGCCCACTCCTGCCTCCAGGTAGGACAGTACAGAGGAGGAGGAGAGAGGGGGCTTCTTTGGAGGGCCAATAGGCCATTTCCACTAAGCCTCCTCCTCTAGCCTACACCTGAGCAGGCTCAGGGGGCTCCCAGAAAAGACCTCCCTTTCTGTACCCAGGGCCTCTTCCCAGGGCTTCTGGGCTTTGGGGTGAGAATGTCTCCCGTGGCCACTTACCTTTTGATTTAACAGTGCCTGTACCACATGGTTGGCAACCTGGGGACAGAAATGCCCAAGGCAGAGCTGTTAGCTGACTCAGCCTCTGCCTGGAGCAGACAAACCCTACTCCTCCACCGTCCTCAAAATCAGTCCCGCTGCAGACCCCACGGACCTCATCCAGACAGCGCTCATAGGTCTCCCGCTGGTTTTCATTGGCCTGGGCAAGTGCAGAGTTCTCTGCCTGCAGGAGGGAGGGAGAAGGCAGAAAGGAGGCTGTGGGCTCATTCCTCTCCCAGGGAAAATTCCTTCTGGGGAAGGAGAAGCAAGGAGCCTACTAGCTATACCCCTGCCCCAGCTCTTGGCTCTAGTCAGCCTCTGCCACGGGGAGGCCTGCAGAGATGGACTGAGGGCATCAAGCTCCACTGAGATGCTGTTTCTCTGAAATCCCAAACTTGGCCACAGAGGTTGGAGGTGCTGGGGAGACCCAGCGGCCAGGAGGACCTAAGGTGGGAGGTGCCCAAAGTCAACTTCCTGGGGGAGAGGGCGGAGAAGGCTGGAGGGAGGAGAGTCGGGTTTTGAGAATGCAGTGAAGGTCCTCATTTAAGGACCCATGTCCTGTTCCTCGACTCCTGAGTCCCAGATCATCCAACTCTTCTTCCTGTGGCCTCTGTGACCACCCCTTTCCCAACCTGCAGGGGCATGAAAGTTGGGGAGGGGATAAAGAAGGGAGACATTTGGGGGGAGGACAGCCCCACTCCTCTGCATGCCCTTTGTCCCAAATGGCACCTGGGCTAGACAGCAAAGCACAGGGGAAGGGCTTCTCAGAGCTCTGCTAAAGAAATGCTCAGCTCTGCTCCAGCCTGGCAAGCTGGCTGAGAGAAAGGTCTACCCACACCCAAAAAACCCACACCAGATCCCTAGGCTAGCACACCACCCCTACCCTGCCCCATGCCCCACCTCCAGCTCCCGCAGTCGGTGCAGGAGTTCCTGGCAGGTGCCCAGCTCCATGCTGCCATCACCATCCTCTCCTGGCCTCAGGTTTTCAGGACTCCCGGCTGGCTGGTCCATGGCCTCTGACATCAGGCCCTGGGAACAAGTGGAGAAGCCCTGACAGGCTACTCCAGGGCACAGGGAACAGGTGAGTGGGGGAGGAGGACAGATACAACTGGTCAGAATTCTTGGAGTTTAGATCAGTGTGACCACTGTGCCAAGGACACTCTAACAATTCAGGGCCAGGCTGAGACTCCCCTGGTCAAGGGACAGACCTGCAGATACACTTTTCCCATCTTAAGAACAAAGACCATTATTTTATAAACCCCTATAATTGCAATCACCCCATCAAAGGTCACAGACACTGGCCAGGAGCTGAGAAACCTGAATTCTCTGCTGAGATTGGCTTCAAACTGGCACACATCCTCTTAAATATAGTACAAGGCTCCCTGCTTTCCATAAGGTCCCAGCAGACCAGTATCTTTGTGCATACTAGTCCCTCTGTGGGAGCCTCTTGAAACCCCTCCTTCCCACTGCCAAGCTTGTCACTTGGCCACCTCCTTCTTATTCATTCTCCAGGACTCCCCCTCTAAGTCTAGGTCAGGGGCCACTGCTGCACAGTTCTGTAACTGTCAACTAACTCCACGAGGGCAGGGACATATTCGCTTCACTGTCCAGACTCACACTTCTTGGTGTGACACCTGGCATGTAAGAAACAGACTGATGCCTAGACAGACTAGCATCACCTGAGTACAACACAGCCAGGGTTCTGACCTGCATCAGGTTACCTTATACCCCACCAAAGTGTTGCCACAGTGATTGGCTCTACCTGACTATCATCTTCCATTTGAGTTTCAATTTCTCTGCTAGAGGAAAGTACTTATTTCCTTCTTCTGCACAAATATAGACATTTCCAGTGGATAGAGAACCATTCCTAAAGTAAAAGGGTGGAGGCTCCCAGCTCACCACCAACGACTTGCCTCCCTGACCCACTGAAGCCCCCACAACAGGGCCTTAGAGCTTTTGGACCAAAGAAGAGAGGAGCCTTCAGCCATACCCAACCAGGCATCTGAATGCTCTCTCCTCTGTCCTCCAAGGGGGTACAGGGGGTCATCCCCCCTTGCCCTCTTCCCCCAGCCCCCCACCAGCATGCACTGGCTCCAAAGCCCCTCACCTGTCTCTGCCTCCTCACCCAGGCTGGCACACACACTCTGGCAGCCAGAATCGTCACCTTGCCTGTGGAGTAAAGGGAGACAATGTCAGTCATGCATACCATGAGCATTTATTTGGCTCCTGCTGTTTGTCAGGCACTGGTCACTGAGCTGTAGGGATGAACAAGTTTGGGAAAGTCCTGCCTTTATGAAGCTTCCATTCTGTTGCAGGAGGCAGATAATAACACAGATAAATCAATGAACACATGTTGGGTCCTGACAAGGCACAGAGAGATGCCAGTGAAGCAGAGGCCTGAATGAAGTCTGGATGAAATCCTGGAATGGGAAAAGCATTCCCTGCAGAGGAAAGGAAGAGCCAGTGCACAAGGTCCCCAGCTTTCAGTGAGAAATCACTTAGATAACCAATGGGAATGAGCAGTAACACAAGGTATTGTCTCCTTGAATCTACACAACCACAAAGGGAGTTAAATACTACTGTCTACACCTATATTTGAGATGAGGAAACCGAGGCACTGGAAAGTACACTCACATACACTGAGTGCAGCCCGTGTGCCCAACTGCAGGTTAGCACTTTGTCATGTGCCACTGCATCTGATTCTCCTCCAATCTTGTAAAGGGGACATCAGCCTGGGGGAGGAAACGACACTGTCTAGGTCAGATGGCTGGTTCACAAAGCAGCCTGGGCAGGCTTGGGTTCCCCTTCCTATGGTGGCCTCTCTGTACACACACATTGTACTGTAAGCTCCTTACATTCTGTAGCTCCGTTCAGCCCCGGGGCTCCTGGAGCTTTGCCTGGGATAGATCCTGACTCTACGAAATGTTTCCTCACCTGTAAAATGGGGATAAGAATACTTAGCCCAAAGGTCTGTTGGAGGAGGAAATGAGATCACGTATGTGGGGTGTTTTACATGAATTCACAAAGTGGAGAAGTTTTATATTATCACACCCTGTCCAGGCACAATGCAAAGTCGTGGCCAGGAACCTCTGCTCCTAGGTCAGTTCATCTGTATGGAGACCTGTAGCCCAGGCCCTCCCCCAGGGTTGCGGTCAGCAGGAGGGGCACATGCAGATCTGAGAGTGCTGGCCCACCTGCCCTGCCCTCAGGAGTCTTCTCACCCCCAACCCCACTCCACCAGCTCTCCAGCCTTCACTCTTCTTAGCCTGATGCCCTAGGAAGAGAAAGGGTGACAGCGGAGGGGAACGTTTCTTTTCTAAAGGACAAGAGTGTGTATATGTATGTACAACAGTGGGAAAGGGGCTTCTGTAAACTAGAGACAGGCGAAAACTATGTAATGCTTTTTTTTTTTTAACACTCCACAACAATCTGAAGTCCTTCGTTATTTCAACGTTATAAAAATGTATACAGTATAACTTCATTTGCTCATGTTATCACATTTGATATATTTGGAAAGACAGGCCTGGGGGAAAAAAATGAAAAATAATTCAGGAAATATCCTCTTTCCCACATATAAAAACAGGGGTGAAAACCAAAAAAAGGCCTTGGGTTCTGCACCACTCACGCACGGCCCCCGAGTCCCCAGCCCAGCACGCCCAGCTCTGGACCACGTCCTCCTGCCACTCGGAAGCTCTCGCTACGCTAAAAGAGGCCTGCCCCCATGGGTCACTAGCTTTCTGCATCCCACCACCCCTCATTTCCACGGACTCTCCAGGGAATGGCGGGGTTTGGGAGGGCTAAAGAGGGCCAGGGAGGGCAAGAGCAGGAAGGAAGGGGTGAACAGGGCAACATCCAGGGGTCAGAAAAGGAGAAAGAGTTTGAGAAAGCCCATCTTTGTATTCTTCACTCAACCACAAAAACCAAACTGATAATGATACCAAAATAAAAAAAAAACCAAACTGAGAGGGCAGGTGGTTTAGGACAGTATCTTCTCCTAAAAAGTATCCCCCCAAAATCCAGTTTAGGCATGAGACCCAGATTGTGAGGACTGGCTATGGATTATGTACTTGTGGCTTTCCATGTGTTGAGGAGGGGAGGGACCCAACACACCTCACAGAGCCAACCACTGCCACCCTCCCGTCTGAGCCCCTGTGGATCCCTCGGCAGGGAGGTCTGAGTCCCATTGTGATCTGGGGCAGACTGTCCAATCCCAAACCATCCAAGGTCACGCGGGTTGATCTCTGTATCCCCAGCTGGGCCTAGGAGCGGCTCCGGAAATGCCAGCTGAAGGCAGGCTGTGACTCAGCCCCACTTAGGGGAGAAGTTTTCTGCCCTCAGTCGGGTTGGTCTGGCCAGCTCAGGATGAGGAGCCCTCTCTGCGCCTGCAGTGACGCAAGCAGAGGCAGGAAGCCATGCAAGTCTCAGGTAAGAGGTCTGCATTTACACTGGGAGCTGGGGAGGAGCACACGCTGTCAGTAGGACCACAGTTTGAGTTCAAGATTTCTACAGTGAAAAATAAAACTTCCTTTATCTCTACCTTCCTCTAGAGAATATTAAGATCCAGAGAGACACTTCCACTTCCAGCTCCCAATCTGAGCTTAATTAGGAATTTGGCCCTTCAGAATCTGGGTTTTCAGCCTCAATCTCATGAAAAAAGGTCCATTCTCCAGTGGCTATCCCTGCTGGGTGTCAGCAGGACCCTCTCTCCAGGGGTCCAGTTCCCCCTTCCTCCCTTGGGCTCTCCAACTCCTAGTGCAACCAGGGCCTCAGGAAAACCCCCACCTGGGTTGTTCAGGATGGCCCAGGTTTCACACATTTCTCTGGTGGTCCCACAACACATTCCGGATGTTGGATGTTGGGTCTGGAACATGCTGCTGGCCAGGCTGGGCAGGGATGGAGCTGCAGGGTAGTGGGGAGAGCTCTAAGGAACTGGAGGCTTCTCCCACCAGAACTGCCATCCTGGGCAGCCCCCCCCCCCACCCCACAAAAGCCTGATTCAGAGGGAGGTGACCTCAGTGCTGAGGGGAGGGAGGGAGGGGAAGGGAGAAAGATTAGAGACTCTGCCTCCTTCAGAGGGGTAGGGGCCAGTGTTCAAGCAGCCAGGGACATGGAACAGGGAACACCTGCCTAGGGGTCTCTGGGTCTCTGGCCAACAGCTGAGTGAACGTGGGTGACCACTATGTCTTCAGCCTAGTCAGTCGTGTAGGACCCCAGCCTTTCAGTCAGCCAGATCAGAGGAGTGTGGTCTGTGGCTCCCACTCCCTCCTCAACCAGGCCACGGGCAAGACCCCCCTTGCCCCAACTCAGAGTCCAGGTCTCAGAGGAAGGAACCAGAGAGGTGGCAGCAATCCTGTCCTTCATTCCACGTTCCCTCACCCCGGCCCTTGGCCAAGGGCTTTGGGGCTAGATGAGCCCCTCACTCACCAGCTGTTCCCCCCAGAGTCCCTAGGGAGAGAAGCAGGGACCAGTAGGTGGGGGAGGGGAGGACAGCTGTGGGAAGGCAGAGACGAAGAAGCTCACTTTAATAACAGAATCATCTGTAACACCATTTCTCCCTCTGCTCCCCCCACCCCCAGCTGCTTTCTGGAATCCCCGTCACACCCAAAAGTCTACTTGTAAACAGCCACTTCTGCACCCACAGCAAAACACTCCTTTCCAGACAAGATCAGCTCTGGGGCATGGGAAGGGAGAGAGGGATTTTCAAACATTCCTGGCTTGAAAGTGGCCACCTTAATCCCTGGCAGAGAGCATCCTTTAGCCCTAAAAATTCCAACTGGTCTCCCCCCTTAGGGAAAGAGGGCAGACAAGAATTTCCTCCCCTCCTCCTGACAACTGGCTCCAAGACACAATGGCTCTTCTGAGAATCCTGTGTCCAAGGGGAAGGGGCCCAGTGCAACCCCTTTCCGACTTCCTCTTCACTGGCACTCGACTCTATGGAGTGAGTTCTTTCGAACCCACAGCAGGATCAGTCCCTGCCCTCCCAGGCAGGGCAGGAGAAAGGCAGGTGTGTTATGAGCCCAAAAGGCTCACAGATCTCAATAACCCTTATCTTTCCTCCCTGGATCCTGGTCTCTGTCCACAGCATAACCCAACAATGAAAAAAGCAGCTGCTGGGGACTGGGAGAGGGAAGGGGCTCAGACACAAGACACAATGGGTTTATTTATAGGGTCACACACCAGGGGCTTTGCAGCCAAGAAGCCTAGGCCCGGCCCAGCCCAGGGTACCAGAAAAAGCCCTGAACCAGAAGGCAGATTTAGATTCTAGTCACAACACTGCAATTTACTTGCTGTGTGACTTAAGGCAAAGCACTCAGTCTCTCAGGGACAAGTTCTTTCATGCCAAGTGGAGACTTTTCTAGAACAGTAGTTCTCACAGTGTGGTCTAGGGACCCTGAGGCCTTTTCAAGGAGTTCACAAGGTCAAAACTATTTTTGTAATATTATTAAGGTATTATTTATTTGCATTTTTAACTTTCTCTCGAGTATACAGTGGCATTTTTCAGAGACTACATGATACATGTTATCACAACAGACCTGAATACAGAAGCAGATAGAAGAACCAGCTGCCTTCTATTAAGTCAGACATGATAAATTTGCAAAAATTAGGAACAAAGCCATTCTTTTCACTATTTTTTCTGTTTTGGAAAATAAATATTTTTCATAAAATATGTTAACATGTAATAAGTTTATTACTGTTATTTTAAGTGAATTAAATGTTTAAAACTCTCAGTTCTAATTTTTGACCAGTAAAAGTCATTAAGTATAACCTATATAGCCTCATTTCCTGAGGACTAAAGCCAGCAGAGAACCCCTCAAATCTTCTGCCACCATCCCCCAGCCCCCTCAGGATCCTCCGTTCCTCCCCACTCTCCTCCTGCTACAGTGGAGGGCCTAGAGACTCGCCCCAGGGCCCAGGCCTTCCTGACCCAGACCACTCCCCCTCATCTATGTCTCCAGTATACAGCTCCTGACAAGATCTTTCCCAGCCCAGCTTTAAGACTTCTCAGGTGTCTTGCATCTTAGAAATAATTTCCCCTAACATTTCTCCAAATACAGCCCACTTTTGCCTCCACTGCCAAGCCTCTCAAATAAAGCCTCCCTCACTCTCACTCCTTCCATAGCCTGGTCCAGCTTCAGCAGTGAGAGCTACAATACTAAATCCAAACAATA